CCGTATAATTTGTGTTATAAAAATTACATTAAGAAAAAAATTAATTGATACCATTAGGAGAGTGGAAGAAATTTTCTCCCAATACATACCTTTCAGTTAGTTTTGCAATGAAGGTTAAAATTTTCTTTTGAAAAAAAGTACAAGTAAAAATGGCTGAAGTTCAATTCTAGCAAGCGATTCAGTGCATTTCTGAAAAAATGGGACTGGTAATTACCTTTTTTTTTAACTCATTTGAAAATACATTAATATTTTGTTTATAAGGTTTACAATCGCACTAAAATAAGAGAAAAAACCGTGGTCAGCGTTCTCAATGATTTACAGGAGTAAGTTCAAATTTACTTATTACAATTCTCAATATCAGCAGTACTTTCTGCTTTATTGAAATGTACATATCTAGTACATAATGTATTTTAATTCACAATATATATTTATATACATATATATTTGATAGACCGACTGCTTGCACAAGCGTCCAATGGAGTGGTACAATATGGAGCCATATGAAGTATAACATTGTTTATTTTTTCAAATTGGAAATAAATTGGGAAATTTTCATCTTTTGCATTTTCAAAGTGACCCTCTTGGTAATATTGGAATAATGGGGGTGCAAAAAATTCTGGCGCAAGTGCAAGGAATTGTGGCAAATATGGAAACATTGTATGGCCCGGAGAGAGCAGCAAAGTTTAAAATTGATGTTCAGAATGAGATGGCAAGTCCAGTGGGAGCAAAGAACTCTTACATTCGTATCGAGCTATGGCAAAAATACAAAAAGTGCTTGATATCAACTTTTCCTGGTAAGAAAAATGACTGTAAATTTATATTATTATTTTAAGTTAAATGTTAAATCTTATTAAAAAATACATAAAAAATACAGAAGATGAGATGAACGACTTTTATGCTTATGCATTTTTCAAGTGCATTATGAATGGTTCCACAACTCTGGGAGATTTCTGGACGAGATATTGTCCGCAAAAAGTATTCAATAATTATGCTAAATATGAATAAAAATTGATTGGTTAACAAAAATAAACTTTGAAGATCAAATATTTTTTTTTCAGTAAATATTATTCTAGGAAAATCAATTAGCTCATTCTGCACTGGGACCTGTTCACCTCTTAAACTCGGAATGTAACATTAAGCGAGACAGAGGCTGTATTTTCTTAACAATAAATATCAATTTAAAAAATACCAATAATTTTTTTTATATTTTGTATTTGCAGGCCCAGAGAATGTAACAAGAGGCACAGATAATTTACTAATCTCAATTGAAAACGCTACTGAAAATAACGGAAATGTAAAAAATTTTGTACGCAACACTTATTTTTCAATTTAATTTAAATATTTGCAGATGTATGAAGCAATGAGTGTGTGTGCAAACATGAACGCTGACCTTATTTACGCAAGGTCAAAAGAAGAACTAATACAAATTTTGCAATTAATTCCAAGTATTTAAAATATACCTGCCCTGAACCCTTTCATGATTGAATTAAAAAAGGTATAAAACAAGAAGTGGTTTTGTGGAACATGGTGGCGGAAACGGACGGAAAAACTTTTGCGTGGTGTTGCCGGGACTGTTCAAACAAAGCGAATTCTACTGCAGCTTTCCCGTTAGCGAAAGAAGACGACACCAATCCTTGTTTAATAATAAGCCAACCCAGTAGAAAGGACGAAATTGAATTCAAAAAACTTGCCCCAAATGAAAGCCTATTACTGAAAAGAATATACTGCCGTCACGATAAATATAATGTGCAGATGTGCGAATATTATAGAGCAATTGATCCGTGAGGCAAAAGTCATAAATTTTCATCGTATTATTTGAAAAAATATGTTGTTTTATTAAAGATTTAATCTGCTATTATTGCTTTTTAGAACGATCAGTAATTTATCCCAGAAATTACAAGAGAAAACACATAATTTTTTATTTATTATTTTTATATTTTTTTATGGCACTTTATTTAAAAATGTTTAAACTATGAGGTTTTGGTTTTTAAAAGAGTTTTCGTAAAAATGAATATTGTAGTTATTTGGTAAAATTTAGGTGAGAAATTATTATTTTTGGAAGTTGGGCTGGTTCACTTATTTTCTGTTCTTTATTGTATACATATATGATTATAAAATTTATTTTACATTCTTATTTTTATGAAAAATTATTGCTCCATTTTATTTTTAAAATTAAAATGTGAAACTTTGTATTGCATTATACGCGGAAGAATCACAGACAAGTATCTGCATGTTTTTTCAGTCGTAATTTGAATAATTTTATTGCCATTCAAAAGGTAGTAATGGATGGTAGTTTCGATTTTTTTAAACAAAGTGTTGATGTTTTATTGCTATAAACTTCAATAAATAATCAGAGGCTCTCTACATAATATGGCTTATCATTGCTTATTTAATAATGTAATATTCATTGCAATTTGTAGTAAATAATAAATTCTAATCAAATTCGATGTTATTTTATTGGCGTTCATTATTTAAAAAATATCTCTAGTTTGGTGTAAATTTTAGTTAATATTGTAATGGGGAAAATAAGTTGGCGTCATTTCTACGTTACATTTTCCCTGTTACTTTTGCTTTGCAATGGGAAACTTTCTGTGTTTTCTATTGTTTCTGACAAACAAACAAACAATGCATTTATGTTGCAACCATTAACGGCGTCAGAGGAAATATATTTCCTCTGACGCCGTGTTTTGTTTGCATTGTTGCTACCTACTGCTTGTATTAAAGTCAGAACCGTTATCGCTTTTGTCAGATATTTTCCAGCAATTGCGGCATTCAATGTTCGGCAAAGCAGCAAATGCATATTTTATTTTTATTCTCATGGTAAATATGGATTGCATTTATATTGAATTGCAAATTTTACAATATTTGGCAGGTGATCGTTGAATGCACGTTTAGTCATGATTTGTGTGCTAACTACAAGAAGATTTCCAAAGTTAAATTTTATTCAATTTCTTGGAAGGTTAATAAATGCATATTGAAAAATAGGAAATTGAAGAAACCATCAGCACTGAAGGTGATTTTTTGTTCGTTTTAGATGTCTGCTAACCACACTTTTTCGTTCTTATAGATAAGGTTCCCTTAAGTAGAGGTATAATTATATTAATTTATTGTATGTATATAAAATCTGCACAATCATCAATTTATAGAGTTTAGTCTTGAAATTGAGGAGAAACGCAAAAATGTCTGGGGTGACGTATCATTAAGAGCATTAAGGGAAGGTGAATTTGTGTTCGAAGGATTGATGCCAGTAATTAATTTATAAATATTAAATAATTATACCTTTCGACAATGTTCAGTAATTAATAATTCACAGCTTGACCTCAAAACTGCCCTAGCAGGATGTGCCTTACGCGACATGAATTTACTAACTCTCGATACAGGATCCACAATCCAAGTTCAATTCTTTGAACCGGAAATTAGCAACAGAGGTGGATCTCATGAAAAAATTTAAGCCAATCTTATCCTTGTTGAAAAAAAAATTAATACAACTGACCCCTACAGTTGACCAAATATTTCCCCATTAATTAACGGAAAAATAAAACCCTACGTTTTTTATATAAAGTATCAAGCTACCAAAGGCCGCATTTTAGGGTCACTTGCTCTTTTCTTTTTGCATATTTTTAAGCCCAGTTTAAATTTTTCTTCAAATATTTACAATTTGATAAATAATATAAAATAGTCGATACTGAATTTTACGAAGCTTTAAAACTTAAAATAATAATAATACAATTTGAAATATACGTAGAATTTCTTTAAGTAACGCATTAAAAAGAACTAATTAATCACAAAAAATCACGTTTTCGGCAGAAATTTAAACCATTTTTGTAAGGTCTTAAATTTCTTAAATTTGTGATAAAACCGCAATAATTTCACTCTTTCTCAAATATTTGATATTTTTATATTTAAAATTGACTTGCGAGTACTTGTAAAGGGTGTATTAATTTAAAAAAAAAAAATCAATTAAAATTAAAATTATCACAATATACAGTGCACCTATTACAATATGTTTGGACCAGTGCTGTTCCCTGTTCTGAGAAAGACCCTGCCAAAAATAATTCGTGTCGAAGCGTTACGTGGTGCCAAACTGGAAAGATCACAAAACTCCGTTACTCTATTTCGGTTCCTAACAAAGGGTCTTATTGCATCGCGCTTGATCAAACGATCGGGAGGTTTGTTGTCCTGAACTGCAGTACTGAAGCCTATTTCGTGTGTCAGGTAATTTAATTGCATAGGAAAATTGTGTTAAATCAATTGCCCGACCTGTAGTTCAGATGTAGTCTGCCCAAAAATAAGCATGTGCAAAGTGAATGTGAGCATAGAGCAAAATTTTAATGCAATCAGTAAACGTTGCTAATTTCAAAATAAATAGAAAACATTATTTACTAACATTGGTGGGAAGAATGTGATTAAGGGTTTGCATTATTTTATTCAACGCTTTCGAAATTAATAATATGATAAATACGCTTTTTCAAATAGATTATCGACAGTACGGCACTTGGGTCTACAGTGATCAAATCAATATGACCATCTTATATGGAAACCAAATGGTAGTATTTTTGAATGGCACACAGCTGGTACGCAGTATGGCATTGGGCAACATTTGACAACAAGTTGATTTTCTAAAATTGCAGGGACAAAGTTGTTTTTGAATTCTAAAACAATAAATTTTTTTATTGTAAAAATCTAATTATTGCAATCATTTTTTGGTGGATTTTTCAATACATTAAATACTTTTTTCATCTAAACAGGTGACTTGGGACGAAAATTGGAGAAAATGCTGTGCTCTTGGCATGAAACCGTTTTCACCAGATATTCTACCAATCAGAGGTTTAATTTTTAGCAAAACATTATGCGTAATTTATCCAAAATTGTAAAGCACCTCACGTATCTGGCTTTTTTTGGACTGCAAAAACAAGAAGAGGATGCCTAGGCCAGTTTAAGAGTTGTTTTCACAATATCAAGGGAGTGAATATCGCGAGTTTTTCAACAACTGGAACCTGCATCTATGTTCGAAATATCCAAAGCGATTGGCGAATGGATGAGTATTTGTCATCCTGCGACAGTTTGTACTCGATGTTCTGTGTTGGTCGACCACTTCTGCAGGATGATATAAAAAATAGTTTATCGCAGGTATTTAATTTTGTGTGCCTGTGTCTAATATGTAGGAATATTAAAAAAAATACTTATTGATATGAGCAGTCCACTTCGTGTGTTAATAAGCCTCAGTGCCACCTTGAAAAAGAGTACTGCCAGGAGGCAATTTTTGTGAGAATTTATATAATATTGCTTCAGAAACTCTAATGCTTCAAATCAATAAGAATGCTGGATATGCAGAAGTAAAGACATTGGGACAATTAAGTAATTTCCAGTTTTGTTTTTCTTAGGCAATTCAACTTAATAATAAAGTGTGTTGCAGTTCATGCACTTTTTAAATTGTTATGAGGAAAGTAATGCGATTTTTTTGATAATGATGATGAAATTCATATTCATGTTTTAAAAAGACCGTCTTTCCTTAAAAGTAAATTTCTTTGAATCTGATGCAAAAATATTTGGAACAATTATTCTTGAAATTTTTTTTATTTCATTAAAAATCTCACATTAAAATTTGTGTGCAAATTGTTATTTTGAGGACACAGAAAAATAGTATAAAGGAGAGAATAATGGTTTTCTGGAGCACAAACAGAAAATTGTAAATCGCAATAGAGTCTTGTAAAAAGCAAAGAGGAATTGCCAAGATTCAAAATACTACAAATGTATTTAACTGTTAAGAAATATTTTAATACCCTAATGCTTTTTTTAGAGCCCTTAGTACTCGGAAAATGGTTAAATGCATGTGGTGTGGCTTTCTTAGTATCAAAGGCGAAGGTAACAGTAAATTAACAACAGATTTGCGAGCAATGGAAAATGTTAAAATAATATTCTAGCTGACATGGCAAGAGGCGGTAAAATTTTGTTGTAAAATAGGGATGGGGCTTCTTACCATCCAAAATGACCAAAAGCAATTATGTTTCCAGAATGCCTTAGGTTGGGGATTTTAAGTGTTATTTCAGTTTCAAAATCTGGATTTGCCAAATTTTCAGTGGAACAGAATTTTACGGCTCAAAAGGAAATTTGGACTGCTGGGCAACAAGTTCCAGGTTGCCCTGGGAAATACCAATGGTGCTCGCCGATGCTACTAGATTTCATCAGGCCTGATGTGAAATGGGAAAATTACGATGGCACCAATGAAAAGGAAAAATGCGTTATTCTTAAAATTCAGGGAGAAAATGTATCCGTGTTTGATGAACCCAAGCTGTCCATCGACGATTGTAGGAAAGAAAAATCCTTTATTTGTGAGGTTAGCGTTAAGACTACTTAATAACAATTAATCAATCAAAATTTTACTTTTATAATATAATTAATTAAAAGAGTATAATAATTTTAGGGTATTCCGTATGGAATGAATCCCACAAATGGTGCTGTTAGCGAATGCCTTGAAATTTACAATATTAAACCTAGTAAATATATTGGATTCACCCCCTGGAAAACAAATTAACTTTTTTACTCAATAGGAGAAATAAAAAAATTAGATACTGAAGATTATAACTCAGTGAGCTATTCAGTGAAAGTATTAAAATTATATTTCTTTTAATAGCAGGCCTAATTTCAAAACGTTTTAAATAAAAAAAAAATAAAAAAATGCATCAGTTAGCAGTGCAATGCATAGCTGAAAAAATTGGAGTGGTTATAAATAATTCAAATCTGTTTATGCTTAGATTTTAAATACCATGTTTCCAGGTGTATGACAGAAATAAAATATCGATTGATTGGATAACAAATATCATGTATCTTTTGGGACCGTGAGACTTAAATAAGCGTTGATAATTTTTAACCTATTTCTTACTATGGACACATAAAGTTATAAACACGGAACAATGTGCCTGGGTCTAAATTGGCTTAGGTGGTCAAGAGGCAACGTTTCGTAAGTTATTGCACTGTTATTTTCAATTCCCAAACAACTGCAAAATATTTAAAATATTTCAGAATTCGTTCAGCCGATACGTTTGGTGCAGGTGATGCATTCGTCAAAAAGCAAATGGAATACTTAAAGTTAATCAAGAAGTACTCAAAGGAACTCGAGATGACCAGATTTAGATACTTGGAAAAGAAAATTGGTCAGGGGGGCTTATTCTCCCAAATGGATTTCGACACTTTGCGGGCAATGTTTGCGAGTAAATTCATGGTTTGCAATATGAAAGCAAATAACACAGGTAAATAAAGAATATAATCTTATATTTTCATTTGTTCTTTCATTGGTAAAAATAAAAGAAGATACCATTGAAAAAAACCTTTTTCAGCTTTTGCTGCATATTTTAAATTTTAAAATAATTAAAATATTTTTGCCAGATGAGGCGATGGAAAATTATTTTGCATTTTCACTCTTAAAATGCTTGATTGAAAATATATCGTCTATGAGAATTGTGTGGAGAATCTATTGCCCGGTATTAATTTTCTCGTATTTTGTTAACAAGATTTTATAAATATTATTGAAAGAATTCAATACCATCACAACTTGGCCCTGTGGAGAAATTTAATTCCATGTGCCATGTGGCCAACGATGCTGGTGTGTATGGTATTTATTAATAATACAGATTAAAACAATTGGATTCTTCAGAATTGAAACGAGCCGATGATATGGACTTGAATCTGTCTATGCACATTTTATCCATGGAAGAGCCTACGGTGAATTTTGGTTACTTACGCTTTGAAATATTATTTATACTTAAAAAAAGAAAAAAAAAAACAATTTGAATTAAAATCACCAATTTACTAGAATTGTCAAGCTTTTAAAGGACTGGAAGTTTTCTATCTCAAATTTTAATTAAGCAAAAATTAAAGTACAGAATATCTTTTTTTTTCAAAATTAGGAATGTACAGGAAAGGTTTCACTTGTTTTAAATATTTAATTCTTACCAATCGTTGATATCAATTTACAATTAGATCAAAGACGCACTTCTTGAGTGTTTGAAATGCAGCAGTGACCTCATATTTGCGAGGAACATGGACGAGCTGAAAGAAATAGTGGAGCGTTTTCCAGGTAGATCAATGTGAATAATTATTTTCCACAATTAACTAAATACCAATTTACAGAAATAAAAAAAAGTTTTGTGGTTTGGAATTTTGCTGAGCTTCAGGGTGATAATTTGAAGTGGTGCTGCCGATGGTGCAAAAATTACAGCTTGCCATTAACTGTGCCTATAATCGGTCAGACGGTCAACCCTTTCATGCTGGTCAGCTACCCGGTGGAAAATGACTCGGACGAAATTCAAATACAGGCCGTGCCTTTTAATGAGACGCTAAAAATTGGCAATCAAGTTTTCTGCAGGCACCGGAAAACGTGTAGGCACAACACTGAATAGTGTCCAACATGGATTAAAAGAGTGTCTTTGAAGTTGCCACCTAATTTTTTTTTTTTTTTTAATTTTTATCACGCCCTAAAAATGATTTATATGATTAGTAATTGATTACAATAAATTTTTTATAAAACGTGTGTGTTTCAAATAAAAAATTGCATTTGCTTGATTAAATAAGGATCTGATGAAAATTTGTATGATTTGACTATTTTTAATCCTGTATTCAAGACAATGCGAGATATAGGTTAGAAAAATAATAAAACCGAAACTGGCTATTCTACTTTGCATTAGAAATGTATTTTAAACGTATATTTAATTTTACATTCTAAAATATCAAATATTTTTATATTGACCCGGTGCCCAAATTTTTCTGTACTGAAAAATTATTTGTCTGGGTAAAAATTTCGCGGAAAAATAAATAACTAAACATTACTAGAATTTAGACTGTTTCGATGTTGTATTCTCCCACGTCACACTTATCCTTGTGCTTTTCCCTTTCCCACGGGAAACTTCCGTTACTGTCCCTCGATCGGAGAATAAAATATGGAGTATCAACATCATGGCTACCGTGTTTCCCTTTAATTATTTTCAGATCTTTTCAATTCCAAACGGAATCACAATTTTATTCACCAGACTTTATGAACAGCAAACAAAGTCCCCTATTGTTCCTCATTTGAGGCAGTTGGTTTTGTTTTATGACGTTCACTATTATCGTTTCCTATAAAATCACACAGCTATATACAAATATTTGTTTTCATTTTAAGTTCAAATGAGCTTTTCAGGATTCACTTGTATTCCTAATACATAGTAACCCAGCTTTATTATGCTTCTGAGGGGAATAATTAGATCATGCATTTTCTTTTCAGTGGTAATACATACATTCCTAAAATTAAATTTCTAAACTTTTTAGCAGGTTTTCATAGCGTTAACAAATTGTGATCTGTGTAGATACCACAAGAAAATTACTAAGGTGAATATTTTTAAGTTATTTCACTGCGAATAAATTAATTGAACGAGTTCAAGGAAATCGAGGAAAGTATCGTGGATTCCATTGGTAAAATAATATGATGAATACTGAGTTCTAAAAGTATTTAATTTTTATCACAAAAAGGAAAATTCGATTTCAAATCTCGTAAAATGCACATACTTTTGCGTGAGAAATTTTAGCAACATATATACATAAATAAAATTTCAGATCTTTCACAAGAAATCGTTGAAACTCGAAAAATGGTTTGGGGTGAAATGAAAGTAAGGGGCGGAGAATTCGTGTTTGAAGGATTGATGTCTGTAGGTTTTATTGAAAATAAAAAAAGGCTGTAAATTAAATTTAAATTATGTATTTTAGCTCAACATTGAAACAGCAATTCAAGGTTGTGCTTTGCGGAGAATGAGTTTACTGACTGTCGATGGAGACAAAGTAGGAATTGAGTACCAAGGAAATGGTAATTAAATCAAAATTTAGGAGTTGTGGATATTTGATGACAAATTTTGGTAGATTTCTAACATTTTACAACCTGCCGTTTTAAAAACTTGCAAGGTGGCAATTTAATATATATTTTTTTCTGAACATCAGAATCTGTTGGAAAATAAACATTAAACATTAATAAATCAAAAAGTAGAAATTCGGTTGATGCAAATAATTCATATTGTTATCAAACCACGATATTTTATTAATAAATAAATTTCAAAATTTTTTAGCCCACAATTAATTGTATTACTTTATTTTTAATGCTCTCATAACTGAATTGTTTTGGTTATTTTAGACTATATTCTATATCAATTGAAATTGCTGGAAATTATATTTTCAAATTAAAATTACAACATTACACAGCACGACTAATATGGACTAGTGGTGTACCCTGCTCAAAGCAGGATCCAGCACGAAACAAAACCTGTAGGAGCATTACGTGGTGTCCAACCGGAAAGGTCACGAATCTTAGCTACTCAATGGCGATACCTAAAAAAGGACCTTACTGCATCGCATTGGATCAATTAATCGGGCGGTTCGTAGTTCTCAACTGCAGCAAGGAAGCTAACTTTGTTTGTCAAGTAAAAATCAAGTCCTTGTGATGTTTAAAATATAATAAAAAATATTTGTTTCTTCAGTTTAAGTGCGCAGGGGTAATCTGTCCAGACCAAAAGCTATGCAAAATAAGTGTTTGTGTGTAAATTTGTGTAAAGGCCACACAATTAAAATTTATTTTAACAAAATAGAATGGATTATTTGAAAAGAAAAATGGGGAGAGAGTGATAAAAAGTGCAATATTCTTTTCAATAAAACTTAAACATTGATGAAGATACTTTTTGAACAGATTACAAAACTTACGGCACTTGGGTTTATGACAGTAAAATCGATGTAACAATCTTAAATGGAAATGAATTGGTAATTTTTTAAATGTTAATTTGCTCTTTACAAACGCAAATTCTTGTAACGCTTTTTAAGGAAATGTGTTCAACATAAATTTTTCCTCTTCGACATCTAGGTAACTTGGAATCAAAACTGGAAAAAATGTTGCTCTCTAGGAATGAAACCGTTCACAACCCAAGCTTTATATTGTATATTTCATCTAGTTGAACTATAACATATTGAAAAATATCAAAGATCTAACCGAAAGGGGAAAATTCTGGACCGCGATGACTAGGAAGGGTTGCCTGGGACAGTATAAGAGTTGTTTTCACGACTTCGCACCTGCAATGCCCGTTTTGACTATTCCTTCAATTGGAGCCTGCGTTTATATACGCCAAACGGAGGATTTACTGATTCCCTCTACAACAACGTGCGACAGTTTGTTTTCAATGCTCTGCGTCGGCAAACCACTTTTGGGTAAGGATTGGAACATTTCTTCAGTAAGTATGTCAAATTATTACAGGAAAATTAATTAACGCAGATAAAACAGGTCACTGTGAATGAAAAGCCTCAAGTCTGCTCTCTTCCAGCCTGCAATATGTCTTTTGATACCTGCCGAATGGATTATTTTGTAAATTTATGCTTCATTATTATTATTAATATTTTTTTTTTGCTTTTTTTTATTAATTTTATTCATGACTCTTGATCACGCTTCAGGCGGACTATATCAATAAATATCAAGATACCCATTTGGGTCAAATAAGTATTTTTCGGCAAAGTTTTTAAAATAAAATTTAAAACCAAAATAACTTTTAAAGAGCCATTCATTCACGGCAAATGGTACAATATGTGCGGAGTGGTTTTCTTAGTTCCAAAATTGGAGGTAGCTGTGCAGGATTAGCTAAACTGAATAAAAAAACAATAATTTCTGTAACAGCTGCCATGGTCAGAGGCGGCTAGTTATTGCTGCTCGCTAGGGATGGGGCTCCTGACTGTCCAAAACGATCAAAAGCAAATTTGTATCTACGATGCCCTTTGTTTGCAACTCATATTTTTATTCAAAATAATTTAATTCTGATATCAAATTGTCAGTGGCAATGAATGTAACAGACGAAAAGGAAATTTGGACTGCGGGACAAGAAGTTCCCGGTTGCTCTGGTAAATTCCAATGGTGCTCACCAATGCTGAAAGATTTTATTAGAACCGATTTAAAATGGGAAAATGACGATGGCACCAATGAAACAAAAAATTGTGTTGTTCTTAAATTTCAAGATTCGAAATTTTCAACACTCGAAGATCCCAAGTTGGCCTTTGGAGAATGTTTGAAAAAGAGGCCATTTATTTGTGAGGTTAGTAGGAATAGTTTTAAAATATATCATTGCATTAAGATTAAATTTCCTTTTGTGCTATAAATAAAAAAGCGACGAGCGCAGGGCGAGCGCAGGTTTCAATCTTTTTTTAATAAAGAATTTTTTTAGAACCATAATCAAATGAGATAATTTAAGAGAATAAAATGAACTTAATTTTTGTAATTGTATTGTAAAATTTGCTCTAAATATTTTTCTTGCCATTGTAATAAAGGCTATAAATAATTGAAATATCAAAATTTTGCCAGAAAAAAATTTTCAGCATAGCCAATCGTTCTGGCGTGCTATTTTCAATAAATAGTGAAGTTATGAGAGAAAAATTCAAAGCAGTTAAAAAGTTATGCTTCCTGAACAAAAATACTATTTTCTGAGAATCATTATGCAATTAATTTATAACTTTCGAACTGCTTTGATTTTTTCAACCAAAATATTTAAGTTATTTCACTAAATTTTGCACGCTGAATCGATAGGCTATGCTAAAAAATCCATTTTTTTTTTTTTAATAAGAATTTTAATTTTTTAGATTTATTTTCAGTGGCCAAAATTTACAAACTAAATGACAATTTCGCAAAAGGAAGTTGATTTTGTTGCCTATAAATTATTTCACAGGATCTTTTATTTAAAAAATTTCCTTTATACGAAAAATAATTATTATTATATATTTGCAAATCCTTAATAATTTTATAAAATTGATTAAAAATTTTAGTTTTAAAATATATCATTGCATTCAGAATTAAATTTCCTTTTGTGCTATTAATAAAAAAGCGACGAGCGCAGGGCGAGCGCAGGGCGAGCGCAGGGCGAGCGCAGGGCGAGCGCAGGGCGAGCGCAGGGCGAGCGCAGGGCGAGCGCAGGGCGAGCGCAGGGCGAGCGCAGGGCGAGCGCAGGGCGAGCGCAGGGCGAGCGCAGGGCGAGCGCAGGGCGAGCGCAGGGCGAGCGCAGGGCGAGCGCAGGGCGAGCGCAGGGCGAGCGCAGGGCGAGCGCAGGGCGAGCGCAGGGCGAGCGCAGGGCGAGCGCAGGGCGAGCGCAGGGCGAGCGCAGGGCGAGCGCAGGGCGAGCGCAGGGCGAGCGCAGGGCGAGCGCAGGGCGAGCGCAGGGCGAGCGCAGGGCGAGCGCAGGGCGAGCGCAGGGCGAGCGCAGGGCGAGCGCAGGGCGAGCGCAGGGCGAGCGCAGGGCGAGCGCAGGGCGAGCGCAGGGCGAGCGCAGGGCGAGCGCAGGGCGAGCGCAGGGCGAGCGCAGGGCGAGCGCAGGGCGAGCGCAGGGCGAGCGCAGGGCGAGCGCAGGGCGAGCGC